AGCAGTTCTCAGCAATGAACAAACTTAAGAAGATGGCTTTGCGAGTAAGTAAATGCATGATATGTATTTTAATTAGATAGCTTATAAGTTCTTGGACTACTAAAGCTTATTAGTGTTTAATTCTACGAATGATCACTCATTTAACGTTTCCTTTTTTCAATTTCATTTGGAAACTTTTCATTGCACCATATTGTTTGGGTTCAAAATGAGATGTACAGATTTGCTACATTTGAAGCATTTGGAGCCCGTAGTTATTAAGTCCTAATGTTCGTGGAGCAATTTAGCTGGCTCCTGTTAGCTTCACTTTTTGTTTACATACTTGGAATACTGTATGCAGTGTATATATTGGGTTCTATGACATAGTTTTCTTATTTGTTCTGATTGGTTAATACCTTTTTCAGTTTCTCCATAGGAAAGGCTTAAAGCAAGACCAGGGTGAGATTATCTGTTTTGTAATGGCTATTTTCCTTATTTATTGGCAAATTAGCAAATTTCTTACCAGTTTGTATGACCATTCTAGTTTAGTTTGGAGCTATTGCAAACATTATTATAACGGCACAAGTAAGTCCAGTGAATATTATCCATCTAATATATGTCTAAGCTAGTAGGATAATGTGCCTTTAGGATTAGAGTTATATTTTCTCAAAGAAAATCAACTATAGATGCTGTACCATTCTATTTACATTGAACTAGATGAGAATGGCATGATATACTGTCCCTGCTTCTTAGTTACACAACTCCAGGGGATGACTCTACAGCAAAATCCTCTTCAACTATTAGACCAGGTCACGTGCCTAAAATATTTTTCTTCAAAAATGGCTTAACTGTTACCGTCACATTATTTATTTAAGAAATTTCAAAGAATTTGTTGACCTGAAGATGAATAAGTGCATTGTATATTATATTTTGCCATCAACATCTTAAAATTGGTGTACATGCTAATGAGCAAGGCCTGTGAAGTATATTGCATCAAGCTGAGTAGAATGATTCCTAAACAATTTCTGATAGAAGTACATCTAAAGTACACTACATGTACTTCTGAGTGTAGGAGCAGTAAAGTGTGGCTGAGAACATGCTAAGCCAAGGTCACTTTCACTTGTTCAGGTCTTGAGATCAAATCAACCTTAGCGTGAACATTGCATTTTCAAGCTTAGGTTCAGATCCATCACAAACTCAACTCGAGTTGTTGAAAATTTGTAGTGTAGATTGCAATATTAAGGTAAGTTGTTTATGCATGATTCTGTGAAACGTTGTATCTGAAATATGAAAACCACATCACAAATTACTGGTGAAGATTTATCAAAACAGAAAGAAAGAAAGGTTGGCTAGGGAAAATTATAATTGTATTGTTAAGGCAGCTGGAACCAGGCATTCATGTGATAAATATAAACAGGAGAGCTTGATAGCAGCAGATTTAACACGCTCAAACATATCTTCATTTTTCTGTCCTGTCTTTCTTTCTTTCTCTCTAACTGTTAGAAAAGTTATGAAGAGAAATATTCAGAATGGCCTTCAAATTCCTGATGCATTGTTGTATCCCTTTACCTCAAACATAGAAGTAATCTATCTTGACTGGGAGTCAACATCTAACATGCAGTACATAAATGCAAGAAATTTTCTTGATTCAAATTCCTAACATTTTTTTGTCATAACGAACTAGGCTAAATTGTCCATACAATCTGAGTTCTAGCATGTTTGTGAGCTTGTACTTGAACTTGATTACACAACCAAGTCTAACTTCAACTTCTCGGGCTTGTATATACTACTTTTTAGCTTCTTTGACAAGTTTATATAAGCAAGCTCAACCAAGCTTATGAAAATTCCTGGGGTTTAGTGCTAGCATTACCTGATGCCCTGGAATGAGTATAGGAACTTGATCGTCTATAAGCCCATGAAAGAGCCTATATGTAAGTTCTGTCTTATAACCTATTTGCAGTTTAGCCATATAATTGGTTTCTTTTGTTTTGCTGGCTAATCTATAATTTAAGACTCAAACTCATTGGTTAAGGTTATGGTAAGCCTTTTTTCTTTTTCTTTGGCAAATGATTATGGTAATAATAAACATTCACTTACACCTTAAAAAAGAGTCTGTCTTCAAATAATCTTATCTTTGGGCATTGAGTAGGCATGCATGTATGTATGCATACAAGATCAGAAACGTGATAGTAATTTTTGAGTTTCATGTATGTAGGGTGGATGAAAGGTCTGATCTTTGATAGGGGTAAGAGCACTAGGCAACACCAGACATTATTTGTCATGATCTATTTTTACTCATTCAAAACATTGGAGATTTTTTAATTAATGGCTAGTAGTGATAATTTGTAGTCTCAGAATAAAAAATATTTTAATGGTTTCGGAGATATAGCGCTTGTGAAAAATTCATTTATACCTCAATTTAAAATGTCGCTTCTCATGAAGCCTTCAATAAATATGTTGTCACTTTAGTGAAAATATAAGCTGTTGGGTTTTTTGTGAAGTATATTGTTTCAAGCATTCAATCTAACCTTAACTTCTGATGTAGGATTGAACTATTATACATGAATGCAATGAATGTCTATCCTTGATTGATGTATTGAAAGTAATGCAGTTTTATGGGCATAGTTCGGCAAGTTTTCTTTGTGAAATAATGTTGATATGTTGGTATTATCTATCTTGTGGAACTTTGTGCCATCTTGTATTGCCCTTTTATAAGTTGTTATGACAGTTAGGCTACAAAATGTAGGGGAGGGCAGACTTCCACTATTTCTCCCCCTTCCCATCCCCTGCTGAAGTTATCCAAATCTGAATTGACATCTTGAGTCTTGACAAACTTTATTCAAGTTACCCAAACTTTATATTGACAGCCTTAGATTGCTCAGTTTCAGTTTGGGAATGGGAGATCAGTTGAACCTCTTATTTTCCATGTTATAATCCATAACCTGTGTGTCTAGGTCTTGATCAATTGATAGCTTCATAGAGACCTTACATGCAAATTTACATTCATGTTACGATATGAGGTCTATTTCTGTATCATCTGTTCTTTCAAGTTAACATTTTGGCAAATATTATAAGCTCAATGTTTTTGGTCTTTCTCATAGTCTGAGTTTTCTGCATATTTTCTACTAACATCATACTCAATCTTAGGTTATATCAGAAAGGCTTTCAGAAGAAGAAATTGGTGGTCTGAAAGAGTTATTCAAAATGATAGATACTGACAACAGTGGAACAATAACATTTGAAGAATTGAAAGATGGCCTGAAGCGAGTGGGTTCTGAACTTATGGAATCTGAGATCAAAGATCTTATGGATGCAGTAAGAAAATACCATCAATGATCTATAGTTCCAGGCTCTTTTTTTTTTTTTTGGTGCTCCTCTTGTAGTTATTTTGATCTTCTTCGCTAATTGGACAAACATTCATGTTCTTTTGGTAGGCAGATATTGACAACAATGGGACCATTGATTATGGTGAATTCCTCGCTGCTACGGTGCATTTGAATAAACTAGAGAGGGAGGAGAATCTGGTGTCTGCCTTCACGTTTTTTGACAAAGATGGTAGTGGATACATAACTATTGATGAACTTCAACAAGCCTGCAAAGAGTTTGGATTAAGTGACGTCCATCTTGATGAGATGATCAAAGAAATCGATCAAGATAATGTAAGTTTGTTTTTCTTTCTCAACTTTATTGAAGATTACTTGCATCCCTTGGCTTTATGTACAAGGGAACAAAAGCACACTCGTTGCATTATGGTGCTAATTGTTGGCATTTTATACAATGTACCAAGCAACAAATTATTAGATATATAGATTTTTGGATTAATGTTATGAATAACCCATGAATTATAGTGAATAACCCTTGAATTATAATAAAATGTTCAATGTGTTACGAATTTTAAAAATCTTTAATACGGTATCTGAATTATGAATTTATTAACTAATATAGTACTGACTCTTAATGTGGTTAGCTTCTAATGATGACACATGACGAACAAATAATTCTCTAAGTACTACATAAGTTAATAAATTAATAGTACAACTATCATATTAGAGACTTTTAAAGTTCACATTGCACATTTCATTATAGTTCAAGGGTTATCCGTAGATATTTTCTTACATAACATGTGAAGATTGACATACATTATTGTGATGCTCTCTCCTATCCTCTCTTTGTGCTGTAGTTATTTGTTTAAGGCCTAGAGCTAGGGTTTCTGAATTTACACCTCCATTAATTATTAATCTGTTATCCACTAATCTTAACGCTAACGGGGACTTTGCTACAGGATGGACAAATAGATTACGGGGAATTTGCTGCAATGATGAGGAAGGGCAATGGAGGTATTGGGAGGAGAACCATGAGAAGGACAATTAATTTGGGAGATGCTTTAGGAGTGACGGCTAATGGATCCAAGGAATTGAATCACTTCAAGTGACTTTGAGCTATATATATATATATATATATATATATATATATATTTGTAGCAGATCTACTTAAAATGAAAGAAGTCACTGGCTACACTGGGTAATTATAATGAAAGAAGTCATTGACTAATTATTATTCTACGTTAGCAGACTTGGTGCCTAGCAAAACTCAGTTTCAAGCAAAATAATGACCAACTGCAGGTACATTTTACCGAGGGGAGGAAAGGGAAATGATGACATGTTCTATCAATGCCAGAGAGACCAGTCAATATAAAAAACAGCCAGAAACATTTCAACCAGAACGTAAAAACCAAAACAACAAAAAAACACGCCAATGCGTGCAAAAAGATCTCTCAGATTTTTCCACAGTTTTTTCTTTTCCTTCTTAACAAGTCCATGGCAAACATTCGTTCTTGGCAGTCTAGATGATAAGTATAAGACAATACATGCACACCCGCAGAGGAAAACTGTAAATCGAAGATCAACAAGTGAAAATGTCCAAGTCATGTGGAACTGATATCAAATTCTAAGAGTAATGCTAACACAGTTTCAGACAACCAAATGCAAAAGCACTGAACCTTAGGAGCAGGCAGTAACTGCAAATGAAATTCAACTAAAGGTCTCTTATTAAGAGCATGTGTTTAGTCTATTAAATATTTGTGGAAAACATATTACTCAGTTGTAATAAAGGATGACCGTTCAGCTATAAATGTTATTTACATTTTACTTTGGACAGGAAGATACTTAGTATGACGCCCCTCTGCAACAATTTTCCCAGTGTTTTTCTTCCGAAATTCAACACTGACAACAGCAACAGTCTTCCCAACACGCAGTGCCCTAGCCTCTATCTCAATTTCCTCCTGCATGAGCAACCATAATATGCACATTAATAAATGCCTTTATGTATCATTTCTTTTTATAGATGAAAAAGACCTTTATTCTCCCAAAGAAAAAACAACAGAAAAGCCTTCACATAATTTCTGCAAGAATTCCTGCATAGAACCTTAAATTAGAAACAACACTTATTCCGCCTAAGTCATATCTCCAATCCTACAAGATTGTAACCACATACTAAAAAAAAGGACACATAACTACAAGCTGCAGTAATGCTCCTTTAATATTTGGAAATGCGAAACTAATAAACAATGAAATAATCATATTACTAAATACTCCAAGAAGACAGTTTTGTAGAGAAGAAGGAATATACAAAGGGGATGCATAACTAAAGGTAGCTATATTGGCAATTTCCTTGATTTTGGCACTCTAAATTTCATAATTACATAATGAAGCACATAATTAAGTTGAGCAGCTTCCTTCCCCTCTCCATGAAAACAGGGGAAAAACACTAGGAAATTAAAGCATGGCAAAAGAGAAATGAACTGGAAGAAAAAGGAAGATTGAACTACATGCAGTCCTAGGATTAGACTTTTGCACCTTATAGTTGCATTACATTATCTCCTGCCGACAAAGCAATTTAACATTTAAGCTTTAATCACACATACACATAAGAACTCTTTTGAACCAAACAGAACATGGCATCACATATGAAGCTCAAAAAGAGAACAGGGCAAAGGAAACATACAGTTGTATATATTATTAGTGGCTTAAATATCAGAAGAAATCCTGCCCTTAACATGTTTAATGATTAGCACATACTACCTCAAGATGTTCAAATGCCTTTATATTATTTGTAGGAGAGATGAAGAGTCATGTTGTAAAACATTGGAGTGGGATGACAACCGAAATTAAAGTTGGAATCTATAATGTGGTGACCAAAAAATTAAAAAGGTAATTTATAAAATGTAGGCCTACATGGACACATGTGAGAGCCAACCAGGGAGGGAGTCCCCCTGTCTGCGAATAACACATGACATGCCTGGTTAACTGGTTTCTGGCCTAGGCATCCGTATTTGGCTTTGGACTCACTTGGGCTTGTGTGCATGAGAGAACTCCTCAAGGTTGCTTCACAGGAGCCCAATGCACTACCCTTCAAACATCTTTAATGAAGCAATGTATCTTCCAGAAACAAGGTTTTTGGCTTTTGAAATACACTATTTCCAACGTAGTGTATTTCACACAATTGGAAGCGCCTTTATGCTATAAGTTTTACCCATGGATCACAAGTTCAACTGAAACTGAACTCCTTTCTCAGCAACTAGACAGAAAGATACAGCCACCAGAAAATACTTAATATCATAAAGGTTGCAGACCTTTATAACTGAACCAAATCAATGTAAAGGGATACTAAGTTTGAAATTTAGAAAATAAATCAAGCAATCTGATTAATCAGTGCAATTCCAGATCAAAGGAGTTCTTATTCTAACACACTTGCAAATAAGCTAAGAGCATGTTTCATGCATGTTAACCACCATCAGAGCATCTGATTCTTTATATTTTCCAGTGTTCCGGATCACAAATTGTTGGTAAGGATAACGGTGTCAGAAAATAATGAAATGGTTAATGGTGCAATAACATTAAGATACTTCATAATAAACAGATGGGATACATTCTATGGTTATTAAATGCAATTAGGGCAAATAAAAATGAAGTCTCGTGTATTACTAACAAGTAAGATTGAACAAGGATGGACGTGAACCTCAACTTGACAAATTTCAAACACACATTTGATCAACAAAAGAGGAGAAATTTCAGACATGAAATGCTTTTGAGAGAAGGCATTGCTCTAACTGAAGCGCTCGCATGATGTACAATGATTTTCGGGATTTAACAACAGCTAAGACCTCCAAAGCAATATCAACCCAATTAATTTATTTTAAGATTCCTACTATGAAGCTGATGAAACACACAGAGGGTAGAAAAATGATGATGAATCAGTTTCCATATTTCTTTCTAGGATAAAAGAAAACTCATTGGTGCTAAGATACAAGTCAAGCAAAAAGGCAGCATAAGCAAAATGGGGAAGAAATTGGATAGAAGAGGAGAAATTCACTGACATCAACATAGGCAGCATCCAAGTAAGAGACATTAATTTCCACAGAAACTCCACTGGAACTAACTCCATAAGTGTATATAACTGCTGAGCCAACCAAGTCCACCAATGATGCTGTGGCTCCACCATGCAAGAAATTACCAGCGTTCTTTTACACAATTAACCATCAATCAGAAAACCCAAATCAATCAAAATGCCAACAATCTGACTTGTTGGTTTACCATTTCAATTATCAAATCAAACAAGATAAATTGAGAGTACCAACCAGCAAACGAGGAGGGACTTTCATGGAGCAGAGGATCCGTCCCTGCTCGATGAGGTCAACGCGGAGACCGTGCATGATGAAGTTTTGGAAGAATCTGGAAGGCATGCCCTGGGTGGTTAGGGCGTTGCCGTCTTCATCGCCACCTCCTTTCTCCAAGTATTTCTTCACCGTTTCCAAGTCCATTATTCACTTTGGCCGCCTCTTCTCGCAATTGCCACTCCACGTTACGTGCAAAAATAAATAATTTATGCTATGCTGAGATTTAATTCATCATTTGCTCTCATGTTTGCTACAAATTTCACTTTTAGTTTTGACTTAGAAATTGCCTATCAACTTAAAAAAAAAAAAAGAAATATTTTGTTGTTAAAATTTTATTATAATCTTATAATTATTCAATTACATTAAAAAATTATGTAAGTATTTCTTACTTACAAATATGAATATCTCATAATATTTTATTCATCTGCATATAACTTCAAATTTTGATTAATTAATTATAAAAATAATTATTGTAGATTATATAATCCTAAAAATTTGTGTTAAAAAATAACTCAAACTTGAAATATTTGCTCTACTACATGTTTGATCCTATATGATACAATTGCAAAAGGTCATTGACGCGAATCATTTTGATTGAAAACAAAACAAAATTCGATTTGTGAGAACTTAAATTCAAATTAACTCGATCAAAAATAATCTAAATTTAAATAATTCATGATTAATTATATTTAATTAGATATAATTTAAATACATAGTATGAACTACTATCCTATTAATAACTTTAAATTATACTCTCCCAGTCCCAATAAAAATGTCATTTTTTTAATCAAAATTTTAAAACTTTGACCTATTATTATTATTATATTTTATTACAAATAAAAATATAAAAAAATATTTTAAAAACTTTGAATGAAATAGTTTCTAAATATATGTTTTGTAAAATTTAATTAACTAAAATATTTAAGATAATAGCAGCCAAAATTAAAAAATTTTGACAAAAAAAAATTAACTGTGAGAATTTAACTAGAGCAAAGGGAATAATAAAAATATAAAATCTTTTTTTCTTTTCATTTATATTTGTAATTTTTATATAATTTTGGTTTACTAAGAAAATCCTTTTCCATTAAAAATATAAGAAATATTATTTTTTAAAAATTAAAATATAAGTAAATGCTTAAATTTAATATTTTAAAATATTAAAATATTTCTAAAAAATTCTAAAAATTGAAAATTATTTTTAAAGAAATGAAATCTCATTTTTTCAAAAAAAAAATCTAGAAATATTTTTTAAAAATTAAAACATTGGAAAATGTAAAATTTAGAAAAGTTCAAAATAATTCAAAATTTTTATTTCTTTTAATAAAATTGAAATCTTATTGTTAAAATTTTGAGAAATATAATTTTTAAAAAGAATTAAATTATTGGAAAAAATAAATTTAATATTTTTAAAAATATAAAGAAAACGTAAAAATCATTTTTTTAATTTTTAAAATTTTTGAATTTCTTAGATTTAAAAATATTTTAGGATTTTTTTAATTTGTAAATATTTTTCTAAAAAGATAACTGTTATTTTAATAAAGTTAATAGAAAGTAATTGATCACCTTAGTAATTGGATCAATGTTATAAAATTTAATTTGTACAAGAATGATATTTTTATGAATTATAATAAATAGATTAAAATTTAAATTTTGTGTAAGTACAATAATTATTTGTATAATTTGACAATTGATTTCATTTATACATATTGCCAAATTAGCAAAGTCAACGTTATGTTAGCAAAATCAATGCTTACGTCAGCAAATCAACAAGCATGCCGTCATTTTAACTACAAAAATTTAACGAAATTACTAATTGAGCTAAGATTTTCTAATAAAAATAGTATTAGTAATATAGTTTTAGGAATTATAGTAGATGGATTAAATTTTAAATTTCGATAGAGTATAAAACCCATTTTCATAATTTGACCTACTTATTCTTACAGATAAAGTTTATGGAATAAATATTCTTTACAAGGGAATATAATAAATAGTAATTATGAAATCATTATCACATCAAAGTGTTACTCTTAAATTGTTCTTAGCCCCAAAAGACCCAAATTTTTTATAAAAAATTCATGAAAACTTGAAATCATAATTGCCATTTTTTATTGTTGTGTTTTTTTTTTTTATTGTTTCTTGTGTGTTTATTGTGGATTATTATGTTCATTATAGAGAATCAATCCCAATATGAAAGGGATTCTAATCAAAGAAAAGTCTTGGTTTAAGGAGATTTTTTATGTTATCTTTTTAAATTTTTATCTTAAAAAGAATTCAATCCAAATTTAGATTCTCAATTTTTTTTTTTTTTTTTTACTTTTAAGTTTATCAAATTTTCATTTTCTATTTTTATGTTTTTTTTTCTATTATTTTTGTTTTATATTCTTTGTTTTTTTTTTCAATTTTTTATTTTCAAATAAAAATAAAAATAAATTATTTAAAATAGTAATAGTGGAGTTTTGGTTTAAATCTTAAACCTAGACCAAAAACAAAGTCCAATTTATCATTTAAGGCTAAAAATAGCAAACTCAAGCTTAAACAAGTTTATCCTAAAATTTAATTAAAATTTTAAAAACTCATACAGATTAATGACTAAAAATAAATTTGAAGATTCAAACGTATTTCAAAAGACTCCCAATAAAATAAGATATTTTAAAAAAATAAAATTAAGTCGATTAAAATTTTTTTTCCTCGTGAATCTTGCAAGTGTTATTTTTACCTTAAAATTTTTTCGCTTAAACATTTTACATAAATTATTTCTTCAATGTCGAAAATAGATTCATTTTTTATAATTAACATTTGCATATCAACAATCATAATTGAGATTTTGAGATTTCTAAGTTAAATAGGTGAAAGCTAAAGAACGTGGAGAATGGAGGCATACATTGCAAGTTAGAAAAAAAAAAGAAAAAAAAAAGAACATAAACAAAATCTTATGTAATGCTCAAAAAAATTGATGTTATATGCTTAATTTAAACAAAGGATGTAAAAAAATAGCTTCTTGACAGTTCTTATATAATTTAGAATCTAACACTAACTAAAGAAAGAATAAACATAATTTTTGGTAAAAAGTATGTTAAATTTTTATTATAATTACTAAAGAGAAGACCTGTGCAATGCTGCAAGTTTGTTTTAGTCATGTTAATAAAGTTGTTAGCTATTGAAATGAAAGATAATAATAAAGATAATTGCATCAAATTAAAGCCAAAGTTTTAAGCTATTCCTTAAGTTTGACATTAGAATGGTGGAAAAAAAAAGTAAAAATTATATTAATAAAGTGCAAATACTTACAATTTTTTGAGTAGATATACAATAAACTTCAAATAGTCAAAGATTATGAATGAATATAGATGTTCCCAAAAAGAATCTTTCTCTGGATCCATGCCAAATCTATTATAGTAAATTTCAAATAAAACAACTAAAGCTGCTAGTACTTGTACTACCAAGAAATACATTATAGATGAAAAGCTCCAAGACTGATCTCTACAACATCATCCCATTTTAATGTGCAAATTATAGACAAAGGAAAATATAAGGCATGCTTCATACATTAGATTTTACCTTAGCAAATAGATTAGCTTTGCCCATTGAGCATAAAAAATGCTCCACTAGTTTTTTTTCACAACCCAAACAATGTAAAATAAGGCATGTGATATAATAGTTAGCAAGAAAAAAATAAAGGTATACCATCATAAGATAGATCACCTTTAAAACTAAAAACAACCAAAAACCTATCATAGATAAAAAATACTTACTACAAAATTCTAGTCTTGGAGAATAAAAGTGGTAATCAGAAAAGGAATAAGCCTTAACCAGAAAAAATAAAATAAAACTCCATTGCTTATGTTAAAATTCCTTTCAAACAACTATCTCTACTCTTATGTTACTCATTTATGGCATAAATTAAAATGCACTTAAGAACTAACAAAATAGTTAAAGGAATCTAATCAATAATATGACTCATTATTTCTTTCATATAAACTATTCCAACTATTGACATTATTAAAATGAAAATGTCCAAATGAATAAAGAATTGATGCGGGGAATTGATGGAAGTTCACCACCAAGACTAGACACTAAAGAATATAAAAACACCCCCTAAAAACTCTAATCAAGGATACAGAACTATAAAAGTTTACCTCTTTAGAAAATCCACTTAAGAGATACAAAACTTGAAAACAATCTAAAACAAAACTCTATTATGCCTTCTACAAAGAATAACAGGAAATAAATAAGCTAGGAACATCCCTTCAAGCATATGAGTTTCAAAGATTTGATCGTTAAATTGATATGATTGCCTTCAATCTTGTCTTGCTGAACCATGGCCTTAAAAAGTTGATCATCAATAGTGACTGAAAGGAGTACTGCAAGGTCCCTAAACTTCTTTTAAAAAGTCTCCTTAGCAATGACACTTCATTGGTTTGAAATACTAACTAAATTGCTATGATAATTTCATTTAAGATTGAGATAGATTTTGATTAGCAGAGTAGTTACATAATTGGCTAGCAAACAATCACCTTCTTTAAGCTGAGTTTTCTCAAACTTCATTTTCAAGCACATAAAGAATTTTGATAGACTTTCCATGGATGTAATTAAGATTTTTTTTGTTAAGATTGTTTTATGGCAATCACTCATTATGTAAATCTTAATAATGCATGCATGCACAATAAAAAAGAGAGAAAAAAAAAAGGTTAGTTAACATAATATAACATATATAAGGAATAATAGAATATAAAAGGTTAGTATGGAAAAATATATACAAGGAATAAATTTACAAGAATAATAACTATTCCATCATGTGTCCTATTTAGGTTTTTTTTTTTTTAATTAAAGGGAGGGTAGGGCTCTAGCCTAGGTTTGGATCCTTAAGGTTCATGTACATATTGGGTTTAAAGGCTTGATAATCTATAAGCTCCTAAATTGTTCCCTATATTATCATCCATTATAGACTAGTAAGAGACTTTAATCCTCACCTACCATTATAGGCTCAAATAAAAATTGTTCAATTTGAGTGAGAGTTTTTACTAGCTCGCACGTAGGTTATCCCCTTACGAGAATGTAGGTACTTTCTCTTTCTTCATTAAAGATAAAACCCGATATAGAGTTTATGCATAAATGCAAGTGTGGTGTGTGTAAAGGGACATGTTGAATAATCAAATAAATTAATACATATAAAAAATTAAAATATGCAAAATAAGAAAACAAAAACAAATAGTTTAGTAATATGAAAATCACAAATAATTACATATTAAAACTATCAAAGCAAAGCTTAAGATAACACATAACTAACAAATGACATGACTCTCTAATA